TTTTGGGCAGGCTCGCGTTAGAGCTCTCCTGGGGACCTCTCTCCAGGACATCCCAGCGCCCAAGAGCAGACCCGCCACACGAGACCCGTCAGCATTCTCGGGCTTCACAACAGTACGCGGCTATTTCCCTTCGAGGAGCACGCACGCCAAAGAGACTACACCAGCGTACCCAGTAATACTCTGCACACACACCAGCGGCCTCTCCAGGCAAGTTTGCCTCAGTTACTGCAACATCCCAGAATCATGTCTTTAGCTGGTAGAATACGATTTTAAGGACAGATACAGACAAGACTTTTGGTACCTTTACACCTTAATGACCGCAAATGCAGCCCCCCAGAAGAGGGAACTGTGCAGAGGTGGAGGAGGGAGGTTCTCCTCGTGCAAAACCAGACTACGGATTTTCTATGGATTTCAGAGGTGGGACGAGTCACTCGGGGTATACTCGGCTATAGCTGATCCTTCCACAAGCTGTAGCACCTTTTACCGGCGGCTGAGTGACACTAAGCGATGTGAAACTTCTGCCTATCGAACCATTGCTTCCAGTGTCCAGCATGAGCCTGGAGAAAAGCATGTTGATAGCACTGGGACCAGCTTTGGGAAAGGCACCTGGTCTGGAGATGAACGGGCAGCGTGAACAGCAGCCACCAAAAGGGAATCCTCCCCACCCAGGCAACAGGATGACCACGCCACCTCTTTGGACTTCAACAGGTTGAATGTGAGATATTGTCACAAAAAAATTCACATTCTTTCTACCTTTAAAAGGAAAAAAAACCTCCTCCGGCGTACCGATTGCCCTTGAGAGGTGGCGTGCTCCCCCCTCGCGCACGGACTTCGGGCTGTTCTCAGGCACAGCGGTACAGGGCGGGGGTGAGGTTTGCCAGACTCAGCTGGGCAGAATTTGCCCCTGGTGTTTAAGTGTACACCTCTCTCCATGCAGGTAATACTTTAACCAGCAAAAGAAACAAGCTGAGCGACTATCAGATCCACAGCACACCACTAGAAGCTGCCTACTGCATGCAAAGCTTCGGTGACATCACGCAAGCAGGACCGTGATGTCAGAGCCACTCATCACCTCGCTCAGGCTGCCAGCTTCCTCTGCAGGGCTCCTTCGGTGCTGGAGAGCAGCTTCAGCGGCATCAGCTGCCCGGCTGCCACGGTGCTCCTCTGCTTTGCTGTTCTCCTGGAGGGTGGGGTAACACATCCACCAGCCAAGGTCCCCACGCCACCTTCCCCAGCCGGTAGCGTCACCCGCCAGGGACAGGCCACCCCTGCCCGCCACCCACCGCCGCACCCCTGGCGCAGAAAGCTCGCCAGCTGAACGGCTTTCCAACCCGCGCTCGGGAGCGTGCAGGCCCCGGTGCCCAAACGTCACCCTGGGTGTGCTCTGCACGCTTTCCTGCTGCGCTTTTCCTGCCAGCCGGCTCTGCTGCCAGGCTCGTCCCAGCTCAGGACCCCCGGGAGCCGTGGCTC